ATTTATTTTATCAATTTAACTGAACTAAAATTTTCAAATATGTGGCAACCCTCCTCAAAAATATTTCCAACAGCCATATTTCCTAGACCTCTTTAATTTGATACCTATATTGTAATAGGCCATTCATTTTATCTTTCAATTTAGTTGAACTTTCAAAAGCATTTCCAAAAGACTTCTTTCTTAAACCTCTTTAATTTGATACCTGTATCAAGTAGATTGAGTTAAATTTTCAAACAGGTTGCAACCCTCCTCAAACATATTTTCAGCTATAAGCCTAAACTTTTTAACAGGTGGCAACCCTCCTTTAAAGTATTTTTTGCGACTGTAAGCTTTCTTAAAACTCTTTAGTTTCATACCCACATAGCAATATATCATTTACTTTATCAATTTGGCTGAGTTAAAATTTTAAAATAGGTGGCAACCCTCCTAAAAATATTTCCAACGGTTATCTTTCTTAAACCTCTTTAATTTGGTAGCGGTATTGTAATATTTCATTTATTTTATCAATGTAATTTAGTTAAAATTTCAAACAGGTGGCAACCCTCCTCAAACATACTTTCGGCGTAAGCCTTCGTAAGACTATTTGGCTTGAAACCCTCTTTTTTTCGAATTCGGTTAAAAAGGCGAGTGCAGCACTCGAGATAGAAGTAAAACTTCTTAAAAAAAATTATATTTTTCAATTGAATTCAATTTTAAATAGTTGAATAAATCATTTAGATTTAGATAGGGTTTTTAGCAATTTATTTGGGAGAAATAAAACATAGATTTTTGTTTGGATTTGCGTTGATTTAAAATTTGCTATATCAAAATATTTGATATCAAATAACGGAACGTTGCGAAGTTATGTCTACTCTTAGAAACACAACATAAAAAAATCAGAACCTTAGCAATGATTCGTATGAATAAAACTATTTTTCGTCAGTTTCCAGGGCAGTTAAACAAATTCGTATAATTTTCGTCACGAAATTGATATCATAAATTTTGTGTTTCTAGTTCAGCTTTCGTCACTCGAAAATTTTACCTCAAAGAGGTATTTTATTTGATTAGTAATTATTTGCAGAAAAAAAATTTGCCGCAATGCATCGAAAGTTATTCGCGCTTTTCTATCGACGCCCAATGTATTTTATATACCAACCTACCGAATGGAAAAGAACTTACCAGTTTTGGTAGGAAAAGCTCATGTTTGGCAACACTGCCTGTCAGTCTGCGTGCAGGTTTCACCATGGTAACATCATATTCGGCTGTGTATTGTTTTTCTTGCAAATTTTGTGTAGAAAATTTACAAAAAATCGCCAAAGCAAAAAGTGGTGTGTTTTTCTTAGATTGGTGTTTGCATGCATTTGCGACGATTCAAAGACAAAATAGTGCCACCCTATATAAGAACTAGAGTTTATTGTTGAAAGAATTTTCAACAAGCCGCAATATCCGTTATGTGGTTATGCCTACGTATTTTTAATATAAGTAAACTGTATTTTTCATGCGGTGTCAATTTAAAAAATATATATAAATGAGATTTATCCATTAAGATTTAATAAATCCAGTTGCTAAATCACAACCGTCTCCATTACCACAACGAGATATGTTTGACGTTCAAATTTTCAAATATTTGACGTTTGCTTATGTTAATTTTATAAATACAGTTGCGGACATTGATATACAGACAGATAAAAGGAAGGTACCAAGCGGAATTTCATTATATGAATTCTGAATATTATTGACTTCTTATTCGTGGTAAATATGTATGTATAATATATAGTTTGGAAAGTGTAACGAATGGTACCATATTCCGAATAATTTTCCGGAATTTAAGAAAAATTATTAAAACGGTAAAAAAACATTTGCTGAAAGAAAAAATTTTGTAGAACTCTCTTATTCATAAGAGGGAACCGAAAATCCAATCGTGGGCCTTTAGCATATCATGAATACGAACTGAGTTCTAGAGGATGTTCGGTGCAATGTTATCGAAGTAGAACCATTACCGAAATTTATAAATTTTTTGTCGCAGCGCGTAAATGACTTATAGAAGGCGGAGAAGACTCTGCATGATATTACTATAAAACATTTCTTCTAAATTTTTAGTTTTTAAAATAATATTTTCTTAATTTATTACAACCAAAGTTATGTAAATAT